ACCCTTTCGGTGTTGGTTTTGGCTCTTTTTCAAAAGAACTCCCCCTGGGACTTCGGCCCGTTCCGCCGGCCACCCGGAAAGGAGCTCAACTACACAATGGTTCCTCCAAGACGGCTCAAGATGGCCTCCATGATGCCCCCAAGACGGCCAAGACGGCCTCCAAGACAGCTAAGATGGCCCCAAAATGCCTCCAAGACGGGCCAAGATGCACCCAAGACGGCCCAAGATAGCCTCAGGATGGGCCAAGACGGCCCAAGAGCCCCCTCAGAGGCCTCCAAAAGGTTTTCGAAGGATTTTGGCATTTTCGCCTTCTCGGCCTTCCGACGGCCCAAGAGAGCCCCAAGATCGCCCCAAGATCGCCCAAGAGGTCTCCAAGATGGCCCCATGACGGCCCAAGAGGGTCCCAACGGCCCAAGAGGCCTCCAACACGCCCAAGATGCCTCCAAGACGGCTAAGATGGCCCCAAGATGCCTCCAACACGGCCCAAGATGCACCCAAAACGGCCTGAGATGGCAGCCAGGTGGCCTAAGACGGCCCAAGAGGCCCCCAAGAGGCCTCCAAGACGGCCCAATAGGCTCCAGGAGGTCTTCCAGAAAGCCCGAAGAGGCCGAAATCATGAATTGTCTAGAAAGGCTTTTGAAACATTTTGGCATTTGCTTCTTCTCGGCAGTCCGACGGCTCAATACGGCGCAAGAGGCCCCCAAGATCGCCCAAGATGCCTCCAAGATGGCCCCATGACGGCCCAAGAGGCCCCCAAGACGGCCCCAAGAGGGCCCAAGAGGCCTCCAAGACTGCCAAAATGGCCTCCAAGACGGCTAAGATGGCCCCAAGATGCCTCCAAGACGGCCCAAGATGCACCCAAGACGGCCTAAGATGGCCTCAAGATGGCCCAAGACGGCCCAAGAGGCCCCCAAGAGGCCTCCAAGACGGCACAAAAGGCGTCCAGGAGGTCTTCCAGGAGGGCACGAAGAGGCCAAAATCATGTATGTTACCAAGGTTTTTGGAAGATGTGGGCATCTGATTCTTCTCGGCAGTCCGACGGCTCAAGACGGCGCAAGAGGCCCCCAAGATCGCCAGAAGGCCCCCAAGATGGCCCCAAGACGGCCCAAGATGCCCCCAAGACGGCCCCAAGAGGGTCCCAAAACGGCCCAAGAGGCCTCCAAGACGCCCAAGATGGCCTGTACGAACCCCTGATATGCCCCAAGAGGGCCCCAAGACGACACAGACAGACCCCCAAGACGGCTTCCGACGGCGTTAGACAAGCCAGGAACGCCCTAAGACGGCCAAAGAGGCCCCCTAAGAAGCCCCCAAAGGCCACCAAGAGGCCCCCAGCAAGCTCCCAGGAGGCCCCAAGAGTGCCCCAAGAGGCGCCCAAGAGGCCTCCTCCTCATCCTCCTCCCTCCTCCTCCTCCTCCTCTTCTTCTTCTTCTTCGTAGTATTATTCTTCTTTTATTATCATGATTAGTATTCTCATTATTAGTATTATTCGTATTATGAGTATTATTAGTAGTATTTTAATTAGTACGATTAGTCTTCTTATTATTAGCTTTCTTCTTAGTATGATTATTCTTAGTATTATTATTAGTCTTCTTATTATTAGCATTTGTCTTCTTATTATTACTCTTATTATTATTAATATTATTATTACTATTCCTCCTCCTCCTCCTCCTCCTCCGCCGCTTCCGCCTCCTCCTCCTCCTCCTCCTTCTCCTCCTCTTATTTGTTCCTCATCCTTCCCCTCCTCCTCTTCTCGCTCCCCCATTCGTTCCCCGAAGTCTTTCCAAACCGACTCGGGGAACAACTGGCCCGATAGCTTGGCCAAGCTATTGCCCAGCTGTCGGCCACAGAGGCGCTTCCAAAGGGGCAGGGGGCGGCGGTGATTCGCCGTAGGCGTCTTAGATAACGCCAACGTCTCAATATGTACTGATGATTCCTATCCGCCCCCGCATGATGTTCCCAGATGCGCCAAGGCAGCGCAGAGACGCACCGACGCGACTCTGATACATCCCATTATGATGAAGAGGGGGCCAGCGGCAGGGGGCAAAGACCTTACGGATAAGATGCCCCAAGGCTGGGGGGCCACCGCTGCCAATTTTCTCTCATCGACTGTCAGATGTGCGAACCAACAAAGAACGGATCTTACGCAAGGTGGCATAACGACCTTACGCCGCCGCCTACGCCAGCTCCCCAGCGCGGCACGACTCATTGGAGACGAGGGCGCTCGCGCGCGACCTTACGCGGGATTGTCGGCACAGTCGATCCCGTGCTTCTGCGCTGCTCGAAGGTGCGAGCCAACAAGTAAGGCGAGGCCAGGACGAGGATAAAATCGGGTGAGGATGGATCGAGAATCTCTGAGATCCAGCGGCTGGGGAAAATGTATCGGGCGCCGCGGCCTTCTCAGAGCGTCCGGGAACGCTCTGCGAGCGCTCTGGAGTCTGGAGCGCTGTGGAACGGATTTCTCCTCGCCCCCTAGCCCCGCCCAAACAAGCAACGCCCGAGCCTCCTCGCAGCGGCCGGCCGTCGCAGAGGCCGCGGCGCCGCTGCCGCGGCGGGCGCCGCCCCAGCCGCCCGCGCGCCTGCGGCAGCAGGTGCGCACGGGCAGCCTCCCCCGGGGTCCGCGCGGGCCGCCCCCGCTTCGCTCCGAGGCTGCCGCGGAGACCGTGACCCGACGCGCAGGCCTCCAGACGCGCGGCCTCCTCCTCCATCCATCCACCCCTCTTCCTCAGAAATGCCTCCTCCTCCTCCTTTTCCTCCTCCTCCTCATCCATCCATCCCCTTCCGCCTCCTCCTCCTCCTCCTCCTCCTCCTCCTCGGTCCCGCTTCCCTCCACCTCTCTCCTCTCTCCTCCTTCTCCCCCTCATTCATGCGCAGCCATCGTGCCACCATGAGGACCACCGAATGAGGAGCGCCTTTTTGACCACGGCGAGCTCGGCCACGAGTCGGCTCCGCGACCCAGATGTCGGGGACTACCCGATCACCAGAGCCCCTCCTGATACCAGGGCGGTCCTTTCCTTCGGCGTCTCGACTGTAACTCCTCCCTGCAGCACCCCCACGCGTGTCGGCAGGGCGGGCCGGGCGTCTCGCCTAAGACTTCCCCACCACTTGTGACCCTGAAGCTTGAAATCAGCAGCCGTTGCACGGACGGAGGGCGTGCCGTTGTGGCTCTCGCGCTAGCGCCGCACACATTCGTCTTCAAAGCTCACAGCAATTTCACAGATGAAGGCGGGCGGTGTCCAAGATGCGGCTCTCGCAGTAGCGCCGCGCACATTTATTTCAAAACTTTACAGCAACTTCACGGGTGGAGGGCGGTTCCTTTTCAAGCTGTGGTTGTCGCCTCAGCGCTGGGCGTACTCGTCTTTTAATACTGTGACCGCTTTGAAGATTCGTATGGTTGAGATCTCAGGAACGGCGTTCTGGTACGATTTAGGAGCGTCACGGCGCAACAGTCCTGTTCATGCGCTGTGTTCGAGTCCCACAAATGTGCCCTGGCACTATTCAGCACTATCAGGACGCAACGGACACGGTGATTCGCGGCGATGAAGGCCCAGAACCGCATTTTGGCACGATTTGAGTGTTCTGAAACTGTTGTATTCCAAACGGGCATTTCCCGCAGCGAGAACAAGTTAGTTCTTAGAGAGAAGGTGTATTCAAGGGCTCCTAACTTCGCGCTTCGCGCTGCGCGCTGCGCGAAGCGCGAACAACTTCGCGCTCTCTCGCCGCCCCACAAGGGGAGAAGAGGGGGACGAGGAGGAGGGGGAGGAGGAATGAGACCCGCGAAGCGCGAAGCACGACTAACTTCGCGCCCTCGTGGGAGCCCTTGTGTATTGCAACATTGTTGATAGGTCTTCGGCCTGCACTGGTCCTCCTTCGAACTTCGAGCAACAGACCGGTCTGCGCACCACGGCACTGGAACCATCGCAGACCTTCGCCACCACGCGGGTGGAGGGCGAGAAAAAGGCAAGAGGCAGAAAGCGAGAAGTAGGGGATGACGAGCACTGAGGACGATGACGACAAAAAGACTGGTCCTCCTCCTCCTCCTCCTCCTCCGAGGTCCGCCCCCACGCGGGAGGAGGGCGAGAGAGAAGGCAGAAGGCAGAGAGCGAGGGGTAGGGGATGACGAGCACCGAGGACGATGACGACAAAAAGACTGGTCCTCCTCCTCCTCCTCTGGGGAGTAAAACGACGCGAAGATCAGGACAAAATGGGATCGGGATAACTCGAAATCTCTGAGAATCGGCGGGTTTGGAGGATGTATTGGGCGCCGCGGCCGCTCCAGAGCGTTCCGGAACGCTCTGAGAGCGATCAACGCTCTGAGAGCGCTCCGGAACGCTCTGGAGCGATTTATCCCGATCCTAGCCCTGTTTTAGGGAGGCGGGGAGGCGGTGCGCGGAGGCCGCCTGAGGCCACGCCGAGGCGGGCTCCCACCCCGGCTGCCCTCCGGCAGCGGGCCCCCGCGGCACCCACTCCCAGCCGGGCGGGTGCGGCCGTCCGGCCACTCTTCTGCCGAGCGCCCTGCGCTCGCGCCACCCCCTGGTGCACGAGAGCGGGGTACATTTAACGGGAGAAGAGCGGTATAAAATAAACTTTTTCGCCGTCGGGGGCACCTGCCCCTGGGCGGCTGGAAAGTTTATACCCCTACGGTGCCACCGTAAGGGAAGGGTATAAACGTTCCAGCCGCCCAGGGGCAGGTGTCCCCGACGGCGAAAAAGTTTATTTTATACCGCTCTTCGCCCGTTAAATAAGCAGAAACTTTTGGCGCTCCGCGCGGGTCTCTTGGATTTGCGCTGGACCCCCTCCCTGGCGCGCTCCGCGCGCCAGGGGCGGGGCCGGAGGCGCCGCCGGGGGGGCCCAGCGCGGATCCAGGGAATCCGCGCGGAGCGCTGTTTATGGCATTTGTTTTTCTTCGGATACAGCCATCGTGCTACCATGGGGAGCGCACAATCGGGAACGCAGGGGCTTTTCTAGCCACGGCTGGCCTAGGCCACAAACACATTCCACAGCATGAATCTAAGGAACCATCCATACGACCACCCTTCGGGTGATGAGGAGCTTTTAAGGGGGAAATACCCAACTGATGGCAATATTGGTGGTTGTGATGAGAACGATGCCGGTTATGCACCCTCAGGTTAGCGACGACGCGTGATGACGATCTCACAACAAACTTAACTTCGACCGTCTCACGACGATCTATCGATCTCACTACAAATTTCACATTCGATTGAGATCGATGTCACAAACGATCTCACAAGATATCGCGCTATCAATATCCCAATCGATCTCACCATCGACCTGGCAAGCGAACTCACTATCGATCTCACATTCCGACTCACCATCAATCTCGCAACAGTTCTCACTATCAGTCTCACACTCGATCTCCCAATCGATCTCACAATCGATCTCATGATCGATCTCACCGTCATTCCCACTATAGATCTCGCAAGCGATCTCACCATCGATCTCACAACAAATCTCACCACGGATCTCACAACGAATCTCACTATCGACATCCCAAACGAACTCACTATCGATCTCGACGCCCTGCTCCGGGACACTGACTCGCGCCCCTGCTCGACACCGACGGGACACCGACAGGACACCCCTGGCCACCGCGCGCCGGGGGGGAGGGGTGGACAGCCAGCTCCACAGCCTCTAGCCATGGCGGCATCATTCCTCTCGCGCGCCCACGCAGCTTCGCCTCGCCCGCAAGCAAGACACGAGCACGAAACAGAAACCGATTTCCCGGTGGGGGGCTCTCCGCTAAACTGCGATCTCACCCCCAACCTCCGATCCGAAAAACTCGACCCCCTCCTAAGCCGAAAGAGGTCTTCATCTCAGCGTCTTGACTGTAGCTCCCTCTCGCCTCGTTGCCCCTCCCCTCGGGGTCCCCGTTCTGGTGCTGCTGGTCATGTGTCCACTCGTTGCATCATGTTGGCGGCGACGAGCTGTAACCCAGGCTGTCCTTTTTGACCGCTTGCCGCTGAGAGACCACGGGAACATCCCGAAATCTCGGCCTGAATCTACAAGCCGCCAGCACACGTCACTTACCGGTCCGCCGCTGGGCAAGACCCGAGAAGCGGGACGAGGGTGCGGGGACAAGTCAATCTGGCGCCCAAGGACGGCCAAATCGACCACAAACGCCGACCACAAACACAACCAAAGTGCTCATGTCGAGATCGGTGGGTTCTCCCCGGGGGGCCCTCCCGAAAAGGCAACTCAGTCGTGGCTGTGGTTTCTTGCGGTGCCTGAAGAGGGGGCGAAGGGGAGGATGGGCGGGGTTTCGGCCTCGCGGCGCGATCCTCGGGGATCTGCTGACCCAGGTCAAGCCAACCCCTGCTCAGTTAGGCCTTGCAAGAGCCTGCAGGAGCCTGCACCCAAGCCCGATCAATGCACCCCTGGCTCTGCAGGATACTGCAAGATCCCGCGTTCTGGCTGACCCCCGCTTGCATTCACACCCGCTTCAAGGCTCCCGAGATTCTTGGGCGCGAATTCATGGGGGACGATGAATGGGGCGGAAAGAAAGGCGCCCTTTTCGGGCCCTCAAGGCACCCCTTCTGGGCCCTAAAGGGCCCCTTCATGGGCCTTGAAGGGACGCTTTTCGGCAGCCCCCGATGCCCCCCCATTAACGCGTCCTCCGAGATTTCGCTGGCAACCCATGGGAGCCTCCCATACCATCTTGTCGGCTCCTGCGAATCGACGCTAGTCGACGCTAAATCGACGCTAATCGACGCCAAATCGACGCTAATCTACACTAAGCGACGCTAAATCGGCGCTACCTCATCGACTCCCAGACGCCAATCGACGCTAATCGGCACTAAAGACGGAATTAACAGGGTATACGAGGCTCCCATGATTTGCTACCGAAAGGGCCCCTTCAGGGGCCGTTCAGGGCCCCTTTTCGACAGCTCTCGCTGCCCCCCAATGTTTCGCCCCCCCCCCCCAATCTAAGAAGCCGAACTCTACATATACTTATATATATACATATATATACATCTATATATACATATATATACATATACATATATATATATACATATACACTGACGCCTTTCCTGGCCCCGCCCGGAAACCCGCACGGGAACGCGGATCCTGGCCGACCACTGGTACCGTGCATGTCCCAGCTTCCGACCAGAGGGCCTCTCGTCGGAAGCCCTCGCTGCCCCCCAGATGCATCGCCCCCCCATGACCGACCAGCCATAACTGAGGGAGCTGTGGTCCTTACCCCCCTGGGGTAACCCATCGCATCGACAATCTCTCGAGAGGGGTGTCGAAATCGATGGGTCCCCTGGGGGGTAAGGACCACAGCTCCCCCAGTTGTGGCTGGCCTGCGTGAGCGCGTCCTCCCACGACGACCCTGCCCCCGTCGAGGGCTCCCCATCCCGCCGCCCGCCGCCCGCCCTGGGAGCGAGGCCTCGGGGGGTCGCTGCGGGAGGGTTGCCCGCGTGCTCAGAGGTCGGCCAGGCCGTCCCTGGCACTTGTCAAGGGGCCCAAGGACACACAAAT